AAAAGCAAAAGTGTCGGAATTTTTGTGACAATTGATTTACGACAGGGTCTTGCTACCGTAAATACTATTTGAGACAGACCGTTGCTGTCGTAAAAATCTTTTGAGACCACACTTATTATGCGAGGTAATGCCACCACAAAAAAGTAATTGTGATGACAAATGGACTTTTTATGACAGTACTTTACTACCATAAAAAATTTTTTCTTGTAGTGTAAAATGCTACAAAGCATTTAGAAAGATCCAATGTGACAAGACTTCTAAAAACTTATAATTCTAACACTATTAAAAGATTTGAAAAACAATAACAAATCGAATAAATAATATTGTGGGACAAATAGAGTTGGTTTAATCCCAAGAGCTTCAAATGGAATATATGCAAAACTTTCCATGGCAGAGCATGCACTTTCCAAGCATGCAGCATGTTGGGATTGACTCACAAGAATTATCAGTGAAGACCATATTCTTGCCATCAACTTGTTCACGAGAATGAACCACCTCCGGGCGTTATGCAAGAAGACATTGAACCCGAAGGTCTCTGTTTTGAGATTGTTGAATGGTATGTGGAGTTAAATATATGGAGTGTTAGAATTTGTAATAGTAGGCCAACCCAACAGCTACATAAACTGTCATCATTACGGAAATTCCATGTGAATTTATTATTTATTAACTCAAAAAATAGTGCTTCCATTATTTATTTGCTAAGGCAGCCCAACAGCCACATAAACTGTGGCCATTATAGACAATATTATGAATTTATTATTAACTAAAAGAGATAGTGTTGTCATTATTCGTTTTGTTAAGGGTAATTTTGTTGTTAAAAAGTTTTTCAGTTATGGGGACATTTAGAAATAATAATATAGATAAAGATTCAATTATCCTTCAGTGTTTCATGCACATAATCAACGTGATTTCAATTACTCTATTCATGTGTCATGCGAATGTTTTGAATTTTAAATTAATTTTCTTCAACTTTCAAAAATTAGGTTTCAAATCTCAAAAGAATTCTCCCTTTCTTTTGCTAAGTTATCTTGTTTCGAAAAATTCTGAAACTCGTATTTCTTATGAGATCAACATATTCAAATGTTCCAAAGATTTATACATACCTATACATATATGTTCGCTGGTGCTTGTTCAATTTATTTATTTTTGTATCTCAACTGATTATAAAATTTATAGATTCATATAAATATTTGATCGTTACTAGATTATATTATATGTGTGTGTGTTTCACAAATTCATATTTATATATATACATATATTTGATCGTTATTACTTGAGCCCTTTTGTTTCAAAGACTATAATTCTGAATCAATTTAGATTGTCTCAAAAAAAAAAATCAATTTAGAACATTTTTTATTTGTGGAAGTTGTCAAATATTTTGACTCTCATCTATTTAATATCTACAACCCAAAAAACTTATGAAGCGATGGATTTATCTATATTATAAATTTTATTTTTCATAATTCTATTTCTTTGAATTTATCCATTTTAATAAAACTTTGATTTTCATTATATATAAAATGAATTTGTCTATATTAGAAACTTTGTTTACAATGATATTGTAAGTAAATTTATTTATTTTAATAAAAATTTTGTTTTAATGATTCTTTTGTTATGAATTTATCTGTTTTAGTAAGTCGCAGATTTTCAAAATTATTTCAAGGCAATTTATCCGCATTAATAAAACTTTGATTTTTTTTATACATAACATGAATAAAATTTTATTCTTTTCATTTTGAATTTATCTATTTCAATAATTTTAGATTTTAAAAACTATTTTAGGTTAATTTATCTGTATTAATAAAAATTTTATTTTTTTATTATATATAACATGAATTTATCTGTGTTATAAATTTTATGTCCAATGATATTTTTAAGTAAATTTATCTATTTTAGTTTTTCAAAACTATTTTAGGTTTATTTATCTGTATTAATAAATTTTAATTACTATTAAACATTAATTTATCAATATTAATATAACTTTAATTTTAAAAATTCACAATTCTCTTTTTATATATTAATTTATAATTATACTATTAATAAAAGTATCTTAACTTGAAAAATTTTTCATTCACTATTTTGTCATTATAAGAAATTATAAAGACTAACACGTCCTTTTGTATTTAAATATATAAATTATTATTATATCCGTCTATGACTTAAATTGCTTCTATTGTTTTTAGGTACGTTGTGAGTTATATTATGCCATCGTTTAGGCCTTCAACCCTAGAGAGAGAAGCTCCTCCCTAGAATTCCTTTTTCATTGTTGACACCCAAACAACAAACATTATTCCATCTAAGCCTTCTGATAAATCTTATGCCTCTTTATTTGATCATGCTCCTGCACAACCTCTGAAGTTTGTTACTAATCCTGTAATCATCCAAGTAAAGAAACTAGTTTACAACAATGGGTAGCCATCATTATATTGGACCAAAGGACTAAATTCAATCTACATGTCATCCCTTTCACCAAATGATGATTGGTAAGTGTACGTATGGGAGACCATCGCTAGGGGTTATTCATGAATTTGTATCATCTAAATGGGCGATCAAAGGGGAATTTTATGTTACTAGTGTGGATTCAAGGCATATTGCGATTAGATTCTCTCTCTTTGAGGATTATGTTCATACTTGGTTGAAAGACGTTATTTATATTGAAGGAAAGTTCTTCAGATTTTTCAAGTGGTCTCCAGATTTTGTTCCTGGTGTGGAACCTTCTGTAGTACCAATGTGGATTTCATTACCACTGCTGCCTTTCAATTTATTTAACAGGGAATGTCTCACGTCAATTATGAGTCCTGTTGGTCGTGTTTTAGCAATAGATCAATCTATGTTGAATCTAACATGGTTGAATGTTGCTCCCGTGTGTGTGGAGGTGAAAATCCTCAAAGGATATGGCTTGATCAAGGGGGATATAAGGGAAGATGGCAGAAGATCCATTACGAGAAACATAGCAAATATTGTAAAATTTGTCTCAAACAAGGTCACGAAGATCAGGAGTGTCGTAGGAATAAGGAGATTAGACAAGGGGAAGAACCTGATAAACGCCGGAAGATAGAAGGGACCTTAAATCTGGGAAAATTAGTTCCAAAGATTACGTTGGCACAATCAAAGGGTAAGGCATGGGTAGCGGAAGAGGGGCATAAGGAAATCCGTATTAAGGAGGTTCACCGCTCTAGAGATGATGTTATTACTCCGAGGGATCATAAGCGAACTGTTCTGGAAATTAGAGTTGTTAATCAACCAACGACTGCTAACAAAGAGGGGGAGGAGGATGGGAGTTCAAAGAACCAATTGACGAATGTATTCTTGGAACCCAAAGAAGTGATTCATAATCTGAAAATCACGAGACAGGTTAGAGACCGCTGTCAAGAAAATAGAGAAGCTTCTAATATCATTTTGGAGGAACAAATCAGTAATGAATCTACTGGTGATTCTGAAGAAAACAAAGCCTAGAATTCTGAATATTCTGTGAAAAATCTTGCTATTACAGATCAACATGATGTAGTTCGAGGTAAATCACATGAGTCTTTCGTAATTTGGCCCAAAATATTGATGAGAAATCATAGAATTTTTCTAAAGCAAAAGGTTTGGGCAAACGATGATATTCTAGAATTAGGAGAGAAGGAGAAGGACTTTTTTGGCAGAGGATATTATTCTGATCAGGAGACTCGTTGTGAAATTTTGGAGGACTTGGAGGTTCTAAAGAATTTTAGCAAGACTTTGAATTGGAAATTAGATACAGAGAAGCACAAGAAGATGATGAAGCTGAAGGCAAAGCTAAAGAGGGTGCCTCTGTGAGAATTACTAGATCCCGATCTAGAACTTTATCATCTTTTGAAGTTGTTAATGATTAGTTTTATATCGTGGAATATAAGGGGAGTGGGAAGTAAAGATTCTAAGCTTAGGCTCAGGGAGTTAATAAGACTGCATGACATTTGTTTGGTGTCAATTCTAGAACCTTTAGCGAATGTTTCAAAGATGCAGAGGTATGGAAGAAGTTTGAATATGAATTTCTCGGTTAGTAATGAATTGGCAGAGAGGAAAATGTGGCTGTTTGGGATCACAGGGTGTTAGTGAATGTCATTCACATACATTCTCAAGTTATGACTATTAAGGTGTCATTTTTAGGGTCTCCTCCAGTTTACATGTCATTGGTGTATGCAAGTTGTGAATATTTGGTGAGAAGTTTGTGGGATCATTTATCTGTAATTGTTGAACCTACTTGGCCATGGTTAGTGGTGGGCGATTTCAATGTAGTTGTTTCTTCAGATGAAAGACTTGGAGGGAGACGTCCAAGGTTGGCAGAAATGGAGGATTTTTCATTTTTTATCCAAGAAAATGGTCTTATTGATTGTGGTTTCTCGAGAAGCTCCTTTACATGGTGTAACAATCAACAAGGTCAATCTAGAATTTGGTCTCGCTTGGATAGAGCTTTAAGGACACCTGCTTGGAATCTACGATGTGCTTCAACAAAGGTTTCTCATTTACCTAGAGGTGAGTCTGATCATGCCCCACTTTTGATTAAAACAAGTGAATTCTTGAATTCTATTGTGCCATCATACTTTAAGTTTCAAGATATGTGGACGGAACATCCATTATTCTTAGAAGTGGTGGGGTGTAGTTGGATAGGTTTTTATTCCAACAACCCAATTGAGAATTTCTTCCAGAAATTGAAAAATGTGAAAGTTAATTTGAGGAAATGGAATTGGGAGGTGTTTGGAAATATTTTTCAAAAAATTAAATTATTAGAGGAGAATCTATTAAGAGCTGAAAGAAGAGTGGAAGATGATAGTTCGATAGCTTCTCTCAGTTCTTGTGATGAGGCTAGGATGCAGTTGAATGAAGTACTAAGGTTGGAGGAAATTTACTGAAGACAGAAAGCTAATGTCAAATGGGTTTTGGAAGGTGATCGTAATACTTAGTTTTTCCATTCCATGGCAAAGAGTAAAGCTGTTCGGAATAAATTAGAAGAATTAAAGATGAGGATGGTAGGTGGAGAGAGGGTGATCAAGCTATTTCTGATGTTCCAGTTAAGTTTTTTTCTAACCTTTATAAGTCTGAAACGCATGATATTAATGGTGTCCTGATGGATTTGATTCCTTCTTTGGTGACTCAATCTGACAATGAGTTGCTAACAGTTAAGATAGATGAAGAGGAACTGAAAGGTGTGGTGTTTGACAAGTCTTCTAAAAGTGCTCCAGGTCCAGATGGTTTCTCTGGAAAATTTTAGAAGGTTGCATGGGAGATGATTCACAAGGATTTATTATTAGCTTGTAACTTCTTTTTATTTGGTGGTGCTATTCCAAGATCTGCAAATGCCACTTTAATGGTTTTGATTCCGAAAGTAGCTAATCCATCTTGTTTTGCAGAATTCAGACCTATTAGTCTTTGCAATTTTATGTACAAAGTCTTTTCTAAAGTTTTGTCTAAGAGGCTTGGGAGAATCCTACCTAAGCTCATTTCAGCTTAACAACATGGGTTTGTAGAGGGAAGGAATATTGGAGATTGTTTTGCAATATGTCAATTGATGGTGGGGTAGTTGGACAGAAAAGTGTTTGGTGGAAATTGATAATGAAGGTGGATATGATGAAAGCATATGACAGAGTAGAATGAGATTTTCTAAGATGTACTTTGCTGAAATTTGGTTTTTCTCATCTATTTGTTTGAATTATTATGAATTGTTTAAGTAATCAACATATTTCGGTGGCTATAAATGGTCAACGGTATGGTTTTTTCCCTACCTCTAGAGGACTCAGACAAGGAGATCCTATCTCTCCTAGTTTGTTTATAATTGCGGAAAAGGTTCTTAGTAGAGGTTTAAAAGCTATTTTCCATCACAAATTAGAAAGTTATTTTCATGCAGGCAAGGGTATGATTCCAGTAAATAATCTTTTGTTTGCTGTTTGCGGATGATACGTTATTGTTCTTGAGAGGGGATAAGAGATCTCTAATTAATTTAATGAAGTTTATTGGAGAGTATGAGAGTTCTTTCTGGGCAAAAGGTGAATAGGCAGAAAAGTTTCTGTGAAGGCTTCTATTGCAAAGCGACGTATGCTTTCAGTTATTACTCAAATTCCTATCAGGACAGCTCCCATTTAGTATATGGGTTGTCCATTAATCAAGGGACACACCAGGCTAATTTATTTTGAGGAGGTCATTATTAAGTTTTGAAGGAAAATAGAAGGGTGGTGTTCTCAGATGTTGTCGAATATGAGTAGAGTTGTGTTGATTAAATCGGTTTTATCTATTATTCCAATTCATCTTTTTGCTAATATGAAGGTGCCTCAAGGGTTGATTCTTAAGGTTCAGTCGATAATTGTGGCTTTTTTTTGGGCAAACAAAGAAGAAAGAAGGAAAAGGCATTGGTGTTCTATTCAGAAATTAATGCTTCCTTGTGATGAAGGGGTATTGGGAATTCGTAGCTTTGAGGATGTTTCAAAAGCCTTTTGTTAAAACAAGTGTGGAATATTCTTAAGGGTGAGTCATTATGGGCAAAGATTTTTTCTTCGAAATTTCTTAAAAATTCTCATTTGTTGAGCAAAGACAGTGGCGCAAGATCTCCAATATATAATAGATTGGCTCCTTGGTTTAGACATGTGGTGGAAGCTTCTAAGATGCTTGTGGGCATGGGTGATCAAACGGATTTTTGGTGTGATAACTGGACTGGAACAGGTCCTTTGATTATGAACACTGAAATAGCTCCAACATATTTTCCTATGCTTTCGGAAGTATTGGTTGATTCTCAATGGCATATGGAGACTTTAGAAGTAGATGTTGAGGAGCATATTTATGAGGAGGTTTTCAATTCAGGAGTTGTATTGTCTAAACATGAGGATAGAATAATATGGCAGTGTACTTCTACTGTAGAGTTTTCTTTGAAAACGGCCTGGGAAAGAGTACGTATACGAAGACAGAAGGATGAGGTTGCTGGTATGATATGGACACAGTGTCTCCCTCCTAGTTCTCAGCTCAATCTTTGGAAAATTTATAAGAGAATTATGCTTCCAGATGAGAGAGTTCAAAGCATAGGTGTTTTGCTGCCTAGTAGATGATCTTTCTGTTTATTAAATTCTGAATCTTTGTGACATATTCTTATTGAATGTCCCTTTGCAAAACGAATATGGGGAGGTATCTCTGCTGTTTTGGGTTTTGTTCTTATTGATGGGGAGTCTCCTATTGTTCGTTTTATGCAACTATGTTTGGCTTTTAAGAGGAACTCGGTGGGCAATGGTTTGATTAGAAGTGCTTCAGCTATTTTTTATTGGCAGCTTTGGAAAGAGCGTTGTAGAAGGATTTATGAGGGGTTGAGAATGACTCCTAATATGGTGATACAGAAGGTGAAGGAATGTTTGGGACATTATGCAAGGATCATTAATATGAAAGTTAAGGGGAGTTTACAAGAGCAAGTAACTCTCCAATGCCTTAATGCTAATATTAAGCCTGTGTTGATGGAGAAATGGGTGAGATGGGATCTGCCTAATGATGGTGAGTTAAAGTTGAATGTGGATGGAGCTTGCAAGGGGAATCCGGGAATTTCAGGAGGAGGGATGGTTTTGAGGAATCAATGGGGACAAGTGGTGTTAGTTGGGTCCAATTTTTATGGTGTCTGCTCAAACATGGAAGCTGAATTTCTGGCTTTGTTAGATGGGTTAAAGATGCTTTATGATTTTGGGTTAGAGGTCTATAAGGTCGTTATTGAATCTAATTCCATGTTTTTGGTTGATATGGTGAGAGGGAAAATAGCTATTCAGTGGAGGATGTGGAAGATTTGGAAGGAGATATGCTCTAGGTTATCAGCTCTCCAATTTGAAATTAATCATGTTTTTAGGGAAGCTAATCACGTAGCAGATTGCTTAGCTAATTATGGAGTGACAAGAGGGGACTTTCAAATTTATCCTCATTTTCAGGATATGCCATATCAAGGTAGGAGATTAGTCATACAAGATCAGCTCCAAATGAAGATTTTACGGAAGAAAATGACCTTTCAATCAGTCGGAGGATAGCGGCTGATTTCCTTTTCATTAGCGATTTGAGCAAGTGCCATTTAGCTGCAGCGCAGTTGGTGCTTCAGCTAGTTTTTATCTTCAAAGGACTCCAAAATCTCCAAAGCTGAAGTCTAAATGTTATTGTTCATGGAAGTGATGGAAGTGATACTGTTCACGTTACTGTTTAGCTACTTAAGTTTTAAGAATTTATTTCTTTTGCTTTATTTTTAAATGCATTATGATGTAATTGCATACATTTTTATTTATTTAGTTTTACTCATAATGTATTTAAATGCATTTCGAGGTAAGGTACATATGTCCCCCTCACTATGTATAATTTATGTTCATATTAAAATTCTCTCGTGTCGTCGAGATTACTTAAAAAAAAATAATATGTCTGTCTATATTTAAATAACAAACTAACTTCTAACATATCATGTAAATCTCCATGTCTTTGCAAAACTTTTAAATGGTCATGTCTCTGTTAATAGGATATATAAAAAAAATATTTTTTTTTTTCTAAAACCCTAATATTAATAAACATTGACAACTTTATTGATACAATATCATTCGGTGCCAAAAAATTGACATATATATCTTTTTTCCTTCATCCACTATACAAACAATTTAAGTATGATAAACACGAGATAATATAATTTATTTTATCAAATATTTTAACAAAAATTTTTACGTGCAACACACGTGGTGATGCATTGTTAGTACTTAGAAATAGAGGAACAGAGTA